CGAGCGCCGCGGCGCGGGGGGGGACGCGGCCCCGCGACCGACCCGAGCCGCGCTCCATTTCGTCCCGCCGCACCCACTCCCACGCCGGGACACGCGACGATCAGAGTCATGGTGAACCGCGGAACCCCCTCCCCCGGGAGGCCAGAGATCCCCGCGGGAAAATTCCAGGATGCGCGCTCCCCCCCTCGACGCTCTCCCCCCCCGCTCCAGCCCTCTCCAATGGTTCGCTCCACAACCGGGCCCCTTCCATTGGCTCTGCAGCCCCGGGGGTGCGAGCGGAGGCCTGGAGCAAACCATCCCTCCGGCTGGTGCCCTTCCACGACTGGTCAGAAGCCATTTTGGAAGTGGGCAACACGAAATCGTTTTTCACGGAAGAACTGTACCCTGGAGAGGTGGCCCCCCCGGTTACCCTCATGATAACGGGGTGGTTGTGACTCTGGGCTAATACTACACTTTGAATCTGAACTGGGTGGTTCTTTGTGGGGAGGTTGTCCGATGCCTTGTAGGAGGGTGAGCGCTGCCTCTTCGATGCCATCAGCACGCTCCCCAAAACTGTCTCCAGACGTTGGCAGTCATCCCCTGGAGGAGAAAAGTCGCCCCGTTGGAAAACACTGTTTTTGTCTGAGTTCCCAAACTCGGCTCTAGTTCAGTGTACTTACCGTGAAGGTTTACCCCGCATCAGGCTCATTAACCTAGCCCTTCAGATTTAGGACTGCGGCCCAAAGGACTTAGAGAGTGTCCAGGTTGGCCCACCATATGCACACGTAAAATTCATCCTCTGGGCTGCGGCTCCCGGGCTCTGTATCTTGTTGACACCACCACGAAGAACCAAGTGTCGTGTCTGCCCAGATGTTCGCAGCTGCCACGACGAAGTTGTCCAGTGCAACAACACGCAAGCATTTTGCTCTCCCCTCTTGGCTTTTGACATACACCCAGCTTTTCAGATGAGCGCAAGGGCCGGTCAAGGGTTCCCACCGACCTAGTCCATTCTCCTCGGGGCTGGAGTCCTTGAAGACTGAGGGGGAGCTAAGACGGGATTCGTAACGTCAAGATGGTACCTAAGATCTTTAATGGAGGAGTGTGGTGAACCATCAAACGTGATCACGCTGGAGAGATGGGCATGACCCGTGCTTCTGGGAATCACTAAATGAACTGTTGTCCCCGGGAGATTATATGTTTAGAGTTTTTGTCGCAAAGTTCTGCTTCTCCCTCTGGTACGAATCAGTACTGGCTCGAGGAGTCACTTCCCAAAAGGGAGAGCCCAAACGCCAGAGTATTTAAGAGACAGGTAAAGGATGCTCAGGCAGACCTCTGCCCTCATTCAACATGGCGATAAGGAAGCGTGCCCTTTCCGGTCACATGACCGCCCCCCCCCGCCAGGCTCAGCGGGACGTCTCCCCCCGCGCATGCGCAGTGTGCCGGGGCTGCTAAGGCGCTGAGGGGGAGAGGCGCCGCCAGCGCCGCCGGGGAGGGGGGACCCGTTAGAGCGGAAGCGCAGCCGCCGCCGCCGCCTCTGCCGTCGCGGGGGGTTCCCGGCAGGTGAAGCG